AGAGAATAATGTTATGCACCCGGTCCATGCTTTATCAAAACTTCTAAAGTTTTGGCAGCCCTGCCGCAAATTTCTATCATGCACACTCATTGATCATTATTGTTGATTTCTGCATCGCTTTTGTCCCTGAAGTTACAACGCGCTAATAAAATCATATATATGACCCAAAACCAAGTATAAACACTTATGTATAAAGTCATTCTCGCTGATTTTTTTGCTTTTTCTGTAATTTTTGGTTTAGACGCTGAGCCGGCTCGAAATCACTATTTTATTAGGCAAAAATACAAATTCTTATTTTTTGTTTTATTCTAATTAAATTTTTTGTTGCCGGCTTCACAGGTATAAAAAGCTTAGGGGCCACATAGTTGATCATACGACACACACACAAACTCTTATTCAGATAATTACGGCGCATTCACCACGCGGGCTTATTATTATGTACGCGGTTTGAAACAACTTAACTCAGGCGTAGTAAAATGAAAGTTGATTTCAAACACTCAAGCAATTTACTTGGCCGATTTTATCGATGCCTTACCTAGATTTGTAATTGTGGATCAACGACCCACAGAAGAATTTGTACTCTATTTTACACTAGTCTAACTCCCTCAAAATCTTTCGGCATTTCAGGTCATGTTGTCGAACTACAAGTCGAGTAGAAGACGCGCTGCGGAATTGTTACTTTTATTTCAAATTGGTACACTCGCCAATAAACTGGCCGACATACATATTCGTGTCATATTCGAGAAAATGTTGTCATAATATATATAAGTTTGAGAGGCCAATCCAGATTTGCGTTGGGAAGCTAAAGTCGAATTATAATTTTATTTGTTTGGTGGGCGGTCCTTTGTACTAAGCCTAAGGGACACGTCCGTCATCGCACTTTACTTGTGCTCTCACCGAAGAACTGTGGAGTAAACCCTGTCGGACGTTTTAGACTTCTTTCCAACACCTGGTTTGCGTTTTCAATCAACGATCACCAACACGTAACTTGAAGATGACTTCGCTATTAAATTTAATCTTAGTTGAAATTTCGTTGATATATTTTTCCACCGAAACAAACAAGAGAGGTCTTATGTTTAATTTAAAGGAAATGAGTTCTCAGGTATTTACATCTGACTTTGCTAGCTTTGTAATTCGTTGGCACATTTTCATATAACATCGGTACAGTTCTCTGACATTTGATTTTAATTTATATAAAAAGCGCCAGGTCGTGTATAAATTATCTCCATTTTGCACAAAAAATATTTCCATCAAGGAAAATAACTAAAGCCAACAATATAACGACTCGGGATTCTAGTGGAAACATATCAACACCATTACCCCCTATTTTGCTGCATTCCTTCTTTTGCCTATTTCGAACTTTTCATTACCCATCGGTAGTATAAAAACTCCGATTATTGTTCGTCTTTTATGGATCATTAATTAGTTAGTTTTACGGTCAACTTGCACTCTGACTTTTGCAAATTTGAACAGTTCAAAGTGTGCTTAAATGTGTATTTTAATAATACTGAATAAGTAAACAATATTAGCAACACTTTATGATATAAGTAAAAAATAAATAAATTCATTCCTGAAAGGAATTCAACTCATTAGAAATTCCAGCTTTGATCGTTAGCCAGACACAATTAACTCTGACTTCTATCGACTTTATATTGTGCACTTAAATGTGTATTATGATAATAGAAGACAATCTTCGGAGGGAGCGTGAAGCTAATCAAAAATAAAAATAGTTGTTAGATTTGTTTTTGCCCGCCTTATTTTGGATATTTACATTTCGTTATTGTTTAGAGCAGGGGTCACCAACCTTTTCGAAGCCAAGGGCTACTTTTTGGGTACAGATTGAGCTGCGGGCTACCAATTCAATGTACACTTCTAAAAAAATCAGTTGCTCGATTGAGCTTCAATTATTTATAATAACTGGTATTTAGTGAAGTATAGACACTAATAAACTTTAGGATTCTTCAGGAAATCAAACGATTATCACAACGTTGCAAATAAATTTCTATCAATAACACTCGTATTTCAAAACTGAGTGTTTTTAAATTGATTTTCAACACTCTGCACAAGTCTAAGATAAAATGAACTTAACAGTTGTACTATCAAATGTTGCAGAGTATTATACTCCGACTAGTAACTTGACACTGTAACTCTGAGCGAGTCTTGCAGATTTTCATCAGTGAGGCGTGTTCCATGTTTGTTCCAGGTGGAGTGAGTCGCGGCGCTATGGCCCATCGTGTTAAGCGTTAGGTTCGCAGGTTAGAATCCCATGCGGGGATAGTTATGTGCGAAAGGATTGCTGGACTCCTCGCCGCCGTAGTGTGGTTCACGTAACCGCTGGTCGGTTAAGGCTTCCTTCGCCATCAAGTCCAGGCTTCCGGAAACAAATAACTAACTATACCCGACATCGAATGGTAACCGGCGAGAAGCCGTGGTTGTCATATGATTGATCCGTGCTAACGGCTATCTTCTCCCCCGGGAGAAATATGTAAATCTCCTCCTATCCTGAGTTTATGTCAAAAATGTTGATTCGAAAGGATAGGTTGAAACAAACGATGGTCTCGTAAAATAGGATTACTGTAATATGATTTGAATCGCAAGCTTTTTCTGTCCATACTGTGCTGACCAGTGGGTAGTTAGCGCGGAAGATTACGTGACAAGATGTGAAATATCTTTCCGCTTTGCCGTCGCTAAAATCGCCCACTAATGAGACACACGCAGGCTGTTTTCATGGTGGTATAAATATATCCACCTCCCATTCACCGTGAAAATAATGAATTTTTCTTTGGAATCAATAATTGTATTATTACTGCTCCGCTAACCAACGGACAAGAAAAAGCGCGGGTTCGTGGAAAGTGATCTCAGTGCGATGTCATAATTGGGAGAGTGTTAATTGACCCGTCACATTACTGAGGTCAAATAAAAATAAGGTTTATGGTTACAATAATAAATATAGTGTCATTTCTAGTTTCCATATAAGTGTGATTTATACTAAAATAGCAGGACAAAATTTAATTGATGTAGCTTACTTATAAGAGCCGTTATTAAGCTTAGTTTGGAACAGACCTACGGGCGACTCATATGGTCTTCGCGGGCGACTTGGTGCCCGCGGGCAACGCGTTGGTGACCCCTGGTTTAGAGATTGCGATTCCATCCACGTATTTTTGAATAAAACATGCTTTCTCCTTACTACCTGTTATTTGTAGCTTATAGTTATCTATAGTTATTTTTGTGGCGAGACGCGAGAAAAATTCTAAAAGGAGGCGCGGCTTAAAGTTTGAGAACCACTGCTTAGCCAGATTGTCTAGTTAACTGCTATTGATGTCGAAGTCCCTGCATGAAATAACATCGATGGGAATAAAGTAGCAAATAGTGAAAGTACGACTTGTTACGTTACGATTCTAAAGCATTTTATTATACACTTGCTCTGACGCTGCGGGAAATTGTTCACGTTCTCAGCGTTATAAAACTACTTTGTACGTGACCTCACTTGCTTAATGTGAGCTCAATCACCGAAGTGGCATCTAGAATTCGCTTCCTAGCCCTGTTGTCTTTGGATTATGGTTAGGATAATACTAAAATCTCTGAGACCACATACCAAAGTGGCAATAAATAACTTGTCGACTTGCCAGTTCACTCTTCCACTAAAGAGACAAAAAGTCCTTTGGAAGTCCATGCATCTGAAAACGAATAACTGTCTAACTAATACCAAAGCCACGATATGAAATGGTAACCGGACGAAAGGCCGTGATGCGCCATTTTCTCTCCGTCTGTGTTTACTACTCGTGGAATATTTCTGGCAACCCGTTTGTCTCGCTATGGGACACGCTTCACCTCCATCTGTTTTAATGGGTTGAACCCTGTTCATATTAGACAACTACAGTTTGTTTTTAAAGTAATTTAAGCCCAACGTCAATTATCAAACTGCCCGCAATATTATTCTAGTGAATATTATTCAGTAGTTTATTTTTTCGCTGAGAATACGATCTAGACATACAAATCACAATGAATTATAAAGAAAATCACATTCCAGTGTGGAGGGAAACCCGTTTCAAACAATGTATAAAAATCTAAGTTAACTTGCAATACAATACAATTTTATTTTGATCTTTTGTCTACAACACTGAACACAAAATAAAAAACAAAGACAAGGGCGACGAAAAGATCGGGAAAATGAGCAAAACCTAGAGAAAGGTTTATAGCGAACGCTGGAAGCGTTTGAGCCCATTTACCCACACTCACACAAGTGGAAAACACATCACGGCAATTATACTGAAAAATTTATAAACAGCATGTACCAACATTAACACGAGAAAGTAAAATTCTCGGGCAATACTTATAAATTTTGATGAGCGAAAGTGGTGAAAACAATTTGAAGTCATGTGACGGTGATTGTGCCGAAATGCAAATCCCAATATAGCATTTAGGTCAGGGGTGGCCAACCTTTCACATACCATGCGCCACGTTTTGAACATAATCTTTCAGATGCGCCGTAAATCTCTTGTATTCCCACGCCTAATGTCCGCTTCTTGTTGAAATTATATAAATTTATAATACACACACATATATACACACGTATATGTAGTTTTTACAATTTACAACTTCACATGAATATAAATTAAGCAAGGAAGTATAATAAATAAAACTGATCAATTTTATTTAATACCGCCTTTATGAGACTTTTGCTGCTGTTTTACTTTCGCCAGTTTTTTTTATTCTTGGAGTTAAGTTTGTTACTTAGAGGAGCAGTGCATTCTTCAAATTTAAATCTGTAAGTCTTGACCTCGCTTTGCTTTTAATTAGTTTCATGGCAGAAAATGTTTGTTCACATCTATATGTCGTTAGGCGTAATATTGTGACAACAGGCCTTTAGTATCGATATCTACTCTACTCTACCC